GAGGGCGGTGTGCGCTGGCGCGTTGTCATGATGCGTCACATGTGGAGTTCTTCCTTTAGAATCAGCTGACAGGTCCCATAGCCTATCCCAACAATGTCGCACAAGTCGTTGATGATACGACGTCGATCTTCGTGAATGGCCTGCCGAATCTTCGTAACATTTTCGGGCGTTGTGCTCGAGATGGTCGTCCAGAACGCTCGTCATCATCGACAGAGGTTCGGCCATTTTTAAAACGTGAATGCCACACAAAAGTTTGTGCACGACCCATTGCGGACTCCCCAAATGCTTGCTTTAGTATTTCATCGGTTTCCGTAGCCGTTTTGGCGAGTCTTTGGCAAAATTTGATGCACACTCTTTGTTCATGAAAATCCGCCATTCCGAAATCGCAGGAGTGTCGGTGTAATGCACTACCAAAACGCCAGTAACTAAGAAACAAATGCTAATTCGATGATGCAGGCTGGCACAGTGATTCACTATGAATGTAGGCCACACCCCCTAAAGGCAGAAGCTCGTACTACATCCGGTTCGCCCTCTATTGACACAGTCTGGAAACTTTCCGATCGCACCTCGTACATTATCAAAAATACATCCCTGATGTGACATCATAAACTGGGGCTACCCAGTCACAGTTTGCTGTTGTCAGTTTCCAATACAGAAAGCAACAGAGTCCACAGAAATATCACTCATTACACTGTTTTTACTTAAATTATCAACAGCATGCCAAAGAGTGGTACAACCAATTGTGAACCACCCAAGAGAAATAATGTAGATGGGTTGTAGAAAATGAAAATTGGTTTGTGCATTATGGCAGATAATTCTGGAACCCACTCTAACAATGTATTGTATTTGTTTGGAATAAAACTGTTATAGTAACTCTAACAACATATGATTTCAGAAGCATTTCATGAATGGTTTTAATTAATAATGTGTTTGAATTTCACCAGGAAAGGCCGCTTAGGAATTGATCTAGTACATGATGATGTGGCGCGTGAGTTGCTCAAAGAGGTACAGACAATCGAAGGAGTCCAGTCACTGTTACATCAAACACTGGAACAGGCTAAAGAGCAAATCCGTTTGCTTCGTTCAGCAAAATACTTCCTCGATCGAGATAATGAAGACAAAGCCAATGCCCTCAAGATTGACAAACACTGTATTAGTCTACAAGAGACAAGCTTGAATCTCAGCATGTATCATGGAACTGAATCCCTTGATCCTGTGTAGGTCACAATGCTGTTTTTAATGCTATTATTAGAGAGTTAAGAGAGGTAAGATGAATGGCTTCTCACAGCAGAGGAATGGCATGTTCTCAGGACAGCCCATTTGGGGTTTGTAATGAACAAGATAGCACTAGGGTAGGTTTCTCTCAAGGACTCCTCTCTCAATTATCATTCTTTTAGTACTCCACACTCATTTGTCATTGCCTCAAAAGTCACTCCATTAGGGTCCTTCTCGAGAAACTGGTAGTTACTCAGCTTGTCAAGAAATTCTCCACCTTTTATGAAACACAAAAGATCATTACTATGTTAACAAGATCCTGCCACTGGTCCGAGTCCTGAGCTGGATGACTCCAGCTCACACCCTCTCATCCTGTTTCCCTAATTAATTTTTAATATAATCATCCTTTCAATTGAGCCTAGATCTATCAATAGTTTCTTCCCTTCAGGTTTCTCAATCAAAATTTTGCATGCATTTTTCATCACTGTCATGCATATTAACTGCCCCATCATCTCACCGTCCTTAATTTGATCCTGATAATTTGTTAAAACTGTCATATCTAAATAAAAAAAATGCTTGACAATTCTTTTTCACTTTTTGTTAAATTCTCCAATATAAAATGTAGTGAAAATTAGTTAATCCATTCTTAAGTTGTTTAATGCCCACAGACAGACACCACAGGGTTGCCTAAAAACAAATGAAGTATACCCAAAACATTCTTTGTGATTTTATACATCTTACTGATCTTGATACTAATTTATTTTTTCTTTATATCAGTAAATGTCCAATCTCACTATTCTTAATAATGCACACAATATCTTTATAAATTAATTAAACTCCTTTACTTTTAACAATCTTTGTTATTTGCCTTTTGATTGCTATATTGCAAACATATGATATAGAGCAGAGGTTCCCTTGTGCCCCCCTTAAAACATTTCATAAATTTATCAAATGTTTTAAGGGGGTTAAAACATTTGATAAATTTCACGCCACCCTTCCAGAACAAGTACAAGCAAGCAGATTTGATATAAAATTTAGCTATGAGTATATATTTTTTTATAATTTAGTATATATTATTCAATGCATTTAATTTAAAAAACTAATAAAATATACGCTTCATACCTGGATTAGTGGGATGAATGTGGTTGCTTCTGTGAACATAACTTGTCATAACGAGGTTGGAGTTTTGAAATGGCCACTCTAAGGTCATTTTCCAGGTTCATCATAGAACGATACTTTGTTTTGATGGCAGCCACTGATGAAAATCCAGTCTCGTACAGGTAGGATGTTACGAAAGGAAGGAGGATATTCAGAGCTCTCCTGCTGTGGTAAGGGAACTCCCCTCCAGTGCCCACCCAAAATTCTATGTACGACTTCCTAGGAAACTGAACTTTTAAAGAAGTATCAGATATAATGTCAATATAGTTTTCCAATTCTTCAAGAGAAATGTCGTAATTTTGAGGCGAATCAGCATGGAATGCATCCGTGATCCATTTGTATTTATCACTTACTGCTTCTGGAAAATACTTATAAAACCTGGACTGCAGATTAACCAAGTGAAAAAGTTTTTCATACAAACAACATGACCCCCCAGAAAACCACTCATGCCCCACCCCCAGGGGGCATGCCCCACACTTTGGGAACCTCTGATATAGAGCATTTACATCTCCAGTGAATATTATATTTGCACTGATTCACACTGCAATTCAATATACTTTCCATAAAACATACTGCTGTTATCTATTACTATCTACTTTCATCCACAAATTTATCATGTCTATATCCTGCCCACATTGTGACTACATAGTTTCTGCAACAACAAAAATAGAACCAAATGCATGCCACTAATCCCCAGACACTGCAAAGTCAACAATTATTTTTCTTTCTATTTTATTAAATACTCAATGGATTTAAATAAAATAATTTAATATATTAAAATATTATTATCTAATGCTTTAATATAATTCAATTTGTAAAGAATTATATCTAATTACTTTTTGTAAGTGGAGAGCTGTTATTATCAGCCTAGGAATTTGATTTGTATTTGTCATAGTTTATATAACTTTGGTGTATGGGAAGAAAACCTTTTCACAACAGTTGTCCTTCACTGTACATTTTAGTTAAACACAAATATAATTTTTGTAATTAATATGTTTTAATAGCAATGTAACGAAAGAAGAATGGGCACTTTTCTCCAACAAGTTAAATGAACGTGCAACCAAGGAGGTCAACAATGCACGACCTCTGCATTCTTACATTGACATACTTTTGAAACAAGTTACAGAAGATCTGTGGAATCAGTTCAATGTTACAAATGAGGCATTCAGACGTAGAATTTCAGAAACCAGAGAAGTCAAACTTAAACTTGAAAATGAACATCATGAGGTAATATACAAAAGTTACTGTTTGAAATCAGATAAATGTGTGGATCATAACAACACACAGTTAATTCCTAAATATCAGTATGGAGTCAGATGGCAGTTATCTAATGTACAGTAATGAGAATGGTTTTGTTTTGTACGTGTATTTTCCAGACACTACGGCAAATAAATAAAATGATGCGCAACATTACTCGCCTGGAGAAGGCAATAGCAGAAAAGGAAGGCTTCATAGCATTGGCTCACTCTCGTCTTGGCCACAGGGCACAGAGATCTGCAAGTGAACGTACTAGGTAAAAACGAGCAACATTATGCAATTTCCTGATACCTACACATGTATACAGTCATAATGCAGTTAATAATTCCTGTCCACATAGGACTCAGATCTCCTGTTACCCAAGACAGTTGCTCAAAAAACTGAGCCAAGTGAAGACAAGACTTCTTGGATGAATATGATTCATTAAATTAGGGACTCCTACTTGAAGGGTTGCAGCTAATGATGTTATGACCTCCAAAAGTACAAAATTCAGAAACTGTGTCTAGGAGGTCCCTTTCAAATTCCTGAATATGATTTCCTGGCTCTCAATGAAGACTTTGTCCAGTAAAGTTGTGTGATAGTTAAGTTGCTGCATTAAGTGACGTGGATATGTACCTATTTACTTACTATTTTTGAAAGTGGCATGCAGATCAGATTCACAATCTTTTACAAACACCAAATTCAATATCGTATGCTTGTTAATACAGATTATTTTTGTCAAAACATTAATAGCATATATTTTTAATTTAGAACTAGACTTTTATATTTTAATGTGTACTAACTGATGTTACGATGTCTTAAAACAACTGAATTTGAAATTTTTCAGCATTTAACATATGTTTAATTTTTAAACTGATATTCCTTATTATATGATAAATGTGCATACTGGTAATATAAACAGCACTGGTGAATTACAAATTGGTGTGAATGTGAAAATACAGAGTGATTCTTTTTTAGATGTGCAAAATTTACTAGTGAGTTGTACATCCAAAAACATTGGTGTAGGTTCATATAAACAAGGTTCAGCACATCCTTAGTTTTCAAGTTGGCAACTCAATGTGCTGAAATCTGAGAGTGTGCCTGGTAAGCACAATAGTATGCATAGTAATATGAAGGTTTAAGGTACTTATCTCCAATTATTAAAGTTTCAAGAGGAATTAAATTTTGTCTCCAACATGTTTGTTATTAAAATAATGTACTGATGCCACTAACTTCAGGCTTTTCTTTTTGCAGAGATGAAGTTCAAACAAGATTACTGTCTGAAGTGCGGGAATTAAGAGATAATGTCACAGCATTGCAAGACATGTTATCAGAAGTATGTAGTACTTGAAATGTTAGTAATAAGAATGTGACAGATTTGTCGCACACGTGCAAATATGATAACTGTCCTAGAATTGAAACCAGTGACTGATTCTGTTGCTGTAGATTTTGCATAACAGATTACTGCTTTTAACAACTCTTGACAAATACTTCTGTCTCACATCTTATAGAGAGTTAATTCTTTCTACACTTTGAAAATGAAAACCACCTTAACTTCCTTTCAGTATTGCCCAACAAGTTAATTCAGAGCTAAGGTAAATTCAAATTATTTATATACTGGCATTTCATAAGAAACACTTAACAAGCACAAAATTCTCATTTGTAAAATTGTGTTTATGTATTCCTTCGTTCAAAAAATTATGTTGTATTAATTGCATAGATTGTATGGCATATCATAAGAAATGACAAGATCATGAATGATGTGGGATGACTGGCAGGAAGCCTTTCTCAGCTGTCAATCATGGCTTACACACAGTCCAGTTGGCTGTCACAGTAGCATACTGTTACCATCACACTACCTCAGAGTTAAAATCTGGCCAGCAGCCCCAAAGTACAGAGTTTTTAAAATCCATTATGCCTGAAGCACAATGGTATTATCCCAACATCTGCTTGGAAGAAGAGGATGAACTACACAAACAGAATAGCCAAAATTTGAACTGGAGAGCTCCTAAATATAGAGTGGTAATCACTACACCACAATGTTTGACATGGGTGTCATTCTCAACATAACAGAGAAAAATCACAAGCAAATGTAAAATGTAATTCCTATTCACTGTTGTTGCTGCTTGCCTCCTTGCACATTTGCATAACCACATCCTTTTGCTTGCATTTATGTCACTAATACTAGCAATTCATTAGGTACTCTCCACATACAAGAACACATAACACAATAATCTGATATTTAAACACCAACAGTAAAGGGCTGTTACTAAGAAAATTGCAGACTACTGTGATCTATATTGACTTGTCTGGTGACTTAACGTCCATACTTCATGATATTATTATTCCTGAGGTAATTCCCAGTCAGAAACGTCATATGAACATATGTCTGATACTTGATGGTTAAACAGCTAAATAACTGACTAACTAACTAGATGGCTTACCGAACCCGAAGGTTCATCACCGAATTAACCAAAGCCCTCCACCGGACCCTGTCCTGGGCCAACAAAATCCAGTTTCCTTCAACTCCTATCTCCCATAGATCCCGCCTGAGATTATCCTCCCATCTACGTCTAGGTCTCCCCAGCGGTCTCTTCCCTTCAGGTTTCCCGACAAGTACCCAGTGCACACCTCTTGTTCCATCCATGTGCACTACATGCCCAGCCCATCTCATTCTTCTCGACTTAATCACCCTGACAATATTGGGGGAGCAGTACAGATTTTTAAGCTCATCATTATGCAGTTTTCTCCACACCCCATCGTCTTCCCTCTTAGGCCCAAATATCCTCCTCAACACCCTGTTCTCAAACACCTGCTATGGGTAGAAATACAAAACGGTATGGACATAAAACATGTTGAAAGTTGTACTTCCAGCATGAAAGAACACCCTCACATTTCAATAGACATGTAACAGAGTACCTGAATGAACAGTTCCCTAGCCGATGGATCGGCTGTGGTGGTCTGCAGAATTGCCAACCATTGTGACCAAACCTTACTCACTAGATTTTCACATATGGAGTTACATGAAAAACAAGTTACTATATGAATGCAAAGCAAACAAAACAAGATGTACATAATTGTATTTTCAAAATGCAAAATGCAGGAATGACATAAGGTTAAAATCTTCTTGAATTTCAAATATCCATAGTCCTATAACTACTGAGAATCAGATCTATGTTCACAAGTTTCTCACTAGGAATGACTTCAGGAATAATATCGTGAAGTAATGACACAAAGTCACCTATATACACCTTAATAAATAGTAAAGCTGTAGCAATATGTAGAATGATTAAGATTTGCAATAAGATTAGAATGCATGGCATTCTACTTGAGCCACTAAAGAATTTTCTAAATGTGAGACATGCTATATACTGAACTAACTTCTTCTTCTTCTTCTATGGCACAACAGCTCAAAGTTGAGCCTTGGCCTCCTCCCATATGGGAGGTTTCTTTGTCTTTGAAGTGTGCACTTATTAGTAGTGAGTGACAAGTCCACTGCCTCTGCACAATTTCTACTCAATCTTGATTTGTCTGCTAGAGCCATCTATTAGAGACTTGGGTGAGAAATGGCCACTGAATTTTACTTATGAAACATCTTGTTTATGCTCATAAGGTTCTTTTACATGCAATAAGTCTACGACAAGGGACCACCAGCTTTACCTCCCCTCCGAAGGAAGTTGTGCTGCAGATTTTTATCACCCTTAAAAATCCATTGACCTTGGCCGGGTTGAACCCGTGAACCTTGGGTCCAGTGGCGAGCACGCTAACCACTAGTCCACTGAGTGCGATGAACTAACCTAACTTAAAATTACAACAAAAATCTAACCTCTTAGCTAATATTCTAGAAATGTAATGATATACGCAATGTTGTTTGTCAACAGGCACAAGCATCTTTACGCTACTTGCTAAAGACACAAATTCAACTGGAAGAAGATATTAACGTCAAAGCCAACACACTAAAAATTGATGAAGTCGACTGTATGCCTCTACGAGAAAGCATGGATTATCATTTCTACTGAGTGGACTTCAAGGAATGAAATAAAGCTCAAAGGAAGGAATGACTAAACAATTAAGTAGATAAAGATACAATCTGGCATATGTCTGTGTTTTGTATAAAATATTTTGAAAATCTGTACTCTTTTATAAATTGTGTTACAATTATATCATGCATTGTGAGAAGCTCTACAATTTCTCCTCTTCATTTTATATTGTTAGGGTGATTAATTCAGGATAAGATCAAGAGGCAAGTAATATGCATGGCAGACAAAACTGCGAATACAGTTTTGGGCAGAAAACCTACAAGGTGACCTTCATGCATATGGAATAATAATATAGCATGTATGCTTAACATAAGACTTGGTCACAAGTTTTTCTCTGAATGTCTCTGGCAATGGTACCATATTACTATGTTCTATCTTATGGACTTTGTATACACAATTTGTCTTAGAAATCTTAAAACCTTGAAAGTCATTACATTTCAAAAGATTGCTATATCCAATTAAACATGATCTACTTAGAGAGGAAGCCATCATTTCTCGGAAATATACACCGACTTGCAGCATGCCCACAGTGTTACAACAGAAAATTCTGACAAATAACTATATTTCTTAACCATTCTTCTTGCTCCAAATGTTATCATAGGCCTTATCAATCAACATATACGAGGTGCGATCGGAAAGTTTCAAGACTGTGTCAATAGAGGGCGAACCGGATGTATTACGAGCTTCTGCCGCTAGGGGGTGCGGCCTACATTCATAGTGAATCAGTGTGCCAGCCGGCATCATCGAATTAGCATTTGTTTCTTAGTTACGGGCGTTTTGGTAGTGCATTACACCGACCCTCCTGCGATTTCGGAATGGCGTGTGCATCAAATGTTGCCAAAGACTCGCCAAAACGGCTAAGGAAACCTATGAAATGCTAAAGCAAGCATTTGGGGAGGCCGCAATGGGTCGTGCACAAACTTTTGTGGGGCATTCACGTTTTAAAAATGGCCGAACCGCTGTCGATGATGACGAGCGTTCTGGACGACCATCTTCGAGCACAACGCCCGAAAATGTTACGAAGATCGACGTCGTACCATCAACGACTTATGCGACATTGTTGGGATAGGCTATGGGACCTGTCAGCTGATTCTAAAGGAAGAACTCCACATGCGACGCATCCTGTCTGAGGACCAGAAGCAGAATCGACTTCTCGTTTGTCAGGAGCTCAAAGATCTTGCAAGAACCGACCCCAACTTCCTTTCTAAGCTCCGTGTGACTTCTTCCTCTTCCCAAAGATGAAAATTCAGCTAAAGGGAAGGAGATTTGAGACGATAGAAGAGATTCAGGCAGAATCGCAGATGGTGCTTGACAGGCTGACAAAGAAAGATTTCCAGGGATGCTTCCAGGCTTGGCAGCGGCGCTTGGATCGTTGTGTTCACTCCCAGGGGAACTACTTCGAGGGTGATGGATGAATTTAATACCTGAGATAAGTGTACGGGTTTTTATACGCGCAGTCTTGAATCTTTCCGATCGCACCTCGTAGGCCTATCATCGAATATCAGAAAAAATACAATTCCTGTACCCAAGAACATATGTCTTTATAGTAACTCAAATCCAGGACACCTTTTTTTAGGGTTGTGGGGGTTTGTTCCGGAGGTCTTCTTGCTGAAACAAATTACGCAATTCTTGTCTATCATCTTTTACCATCATTATTTTCTAAAGTACAGAAAACGCCTTCACTGGGACTCAAATCCAGGACAGTTTTTCAGGGTTTTGGTCTTGTTTCTGTAATCTCCTGGCCAAAACAAACAATTGTGTCCTTGGGGATTCTTTTACGATGCTGGGTTTCAGAGCTACAAAAACTATTTTCACCAGGACTCAAACCCAGGCCAGATTTTCATGGTTGTGGCATAGTTTCCAAGCGAAAGAAAACAGCTTCATTAGGACTTCAAACCAGAATAGGTTTTTTGGTCTGTAACCTTTGTTCTTATAATCTCCTTGCTGAAACAATGTTGGTCTTGGCACTGTTCTTTTATCATGCTTAGTTTATGATGAGATACAGTAACTATATCTTCACCAGTACTTGAACACAGGACATTTTTTCAGGGTTGTGGCCTTTGTTTCTGTAACCTCCCTTTCAAAACAAACTACTATGATCTTGGCACTTTTTTCTACTATACTTAGTAAATGAGCTACAGGAACTGCCCTCACCAGGACTTGAACAAAGAGGACACTTTTTCTGGTATTTTGACCTTTCTAGAATCTCTTCTTGGTCTCAAGGAATACACATGCCAAGTTTGGTGCAAATTAGTTTATACAATCATTAGCTATATGCATGCATACACACATTTAAATTTTATATACAAGATTACACTAGATACATAAAAAGACATACAACTGAAAGTTAAGCTTTTTGAAAGGAAAACCAACAAAAACTGCTAAAAAAGTTACTGTTACAAAGATGTGTTTGAATATTTACATACTTTACTATGATATGTTGTTGCTGATAAAGGCAAAATGTTAAAATTAAATATATGTAGTGATCCTTTATCAGCCCAATGTACCCAGCTACAGTATGTATACTGTATGTCTAATAGATCTTTAGTGTTGTGTGGTGGAATTTAGCTTTCTCAGTATTTTTAATGTTAGCACACTGTTCTATTTAGTGTCACACATAACCAAAACAGTGGTTTTAAATTATAATACCTTTCAGCATTTTAAAACAAGGTTATCATTGCACATAAATTTGATATACACCTATCCTTTGATTTACAAACTTTCAATTTACAAATTTTCACTATAATAACCTCATTTCAATTTATGAACATTATTTTTACTACAAAGAAGAACCAGCCTCCATCTGAGGGATGAGTGTCCACTTCATAAGTAATAAATGTGGAGGTATACAGCTGTTTATTCTTTGTTTACTAAAGTTCTGATCTTCATACTGTCTCTCTCTCTCTCATGCATGATATGCTTCTAAAAGTCAATTGTTATTCAGCTTGTCAAAGAATAGACCACTTTCTGTACAGAACTCAAAGATTTATCTCCATGTTCACAAAAGCCCACCACTGGATTCTATCCTGAGCTAGTTGCATCCAGTTTGCTCCACCAATTCCTATCTCCCTAAGATCCATCTTAATGTTATCCTCCCACCTACGCCTAGGTCTTCCCAGTAGTCTCCTCCCTTCAGGCCTATCTACCAATACCTTGTAAACAACCCTCCCCTCCTCAAGAGTGCCGCATGTCCTGCCCACCTCATCCTCCTCAATTTACTCACCCCGACACATTAACATTGCAACGAATTTTCTCCTGATCCATCTTCCTCCCTTTCAGGTCCAAATATCTTCAACACCTCAAAAACCCTCAATCTACATTCCTCCCTCAAAGTGAGAGACAAAGTTTTGCACCCTTACAGCACAACTGACAAAATTACACTTTTGTACATTTTAACCTTTAGTATTATTTATATAAGATGGGAGGACCAAAGATTTTGGACTCAATGATAGCAAGCATTTGCCAAATTTAATCTGCTCTTGATTTTGTCATGAATGTCATCCTGACTTGTGTCATCCCCAAGTACTTTTTGTCACATTTTCAAACAATTCATTAGCTATCCTTATAATCTGGTTGTCCTGAATTCTGATGCCAAGACATTATCATATACATCTTTTTTGCATTTATTTCTAGACCATATCCCTACTAGCCTCTAAGAGTGTTTCTGTGTTTGCTTTTACAGTATTTATATTATCACCCAACAGATTAATATCACCAGCAAAGACCAAAAGCTGATGTGTCCCATTCAATTCCAAACTGCCACAATTTACTTGGAGTTTCCTGTTGACATATTCCAAGGCAAAATTGAAAAGTAGTGATGATAGACCATCTCCCTGTTTCAGGCCATTCTGAATGGGAAATGTATTGGACAAATGTTAAACTACACAAATTTTGTAAGACTTGAGGTCATCGCCCTGATGACGGAGGCAGTATGACCTCTGAAACGTTTGTTAACATCGACCAGACTACACAGCGCAACAACCCAGAAGACGGATATCTTCATACACAAATTTTACTATAGGATTCACTTAAACATATCCATACTGTAAATACAGCAACTGCTATACAATGTAAACATTCGATTTAACATTTTAATAGTGCTTTACAGAGTTAAATTCTATTCTAACATGTGGCAAAAATATTTTTCCTCCCTGGGTGCTGGGAACCAGTCTGAATTTTTTTATACTGAAATTAATGAGAATTTCATTTTCAATTTATGAATTTTAACGTTATGAATAGTTTTCATCAAACAAATTACATCTGTTATTCGAGGGATGCGATATATTTACTTACTCACTCCATGGAGCTGAGTCCTTCCTGAGAAGCCACTATGTCTAGGTATTCCTAGTGGTCTGTTCACAATTATTCTATTTATAGTATGCAGACAGTCTATAACAGTAATAATATTTCACTGGCAACTTACTAACATAATTTATTCCATTACATTCTGCAAGAGACTTCAGTACAATGATTCTGCAAAAGACTTCAATACAAGGATATTAGTTTATATGTATGTATAGTTTACAGATAATATTAAGGTCCAAACTGTATTATATACATTACAACTCATGATTTAACTTCCAAGTATTAATGGAGAAAAATTCTAACACAAATGTTATTGCTTAGAGTAACATCCCCATTCAAGATCAACCGCATAATGCAATTAAGGAACCCATTCATAGAACAGCCATAATGTGATCCTCAGTAATGAAACATAATGAAAACAGAAAAATTCTAATATTCTTCAATGCAACCTTCTCTCCAATTTGAAACCACACCTTCAAGATTGGGTGAAACTCATTGTTTACATTTATATTCTTTGGTTCAATGCAGCCTAACTTTCAACTTAAAAAAAAAATCTGACCAACCTCTCATCCTTAATTCAAGACTGGACAATTTTAATTCAAAATAAGAAATTTTACTTGAATGTGAACAAAGGTCAAGACTGAACACATTTATATACATTGAAAACCAAATTTCTGAATTTAAAATTAATTTAAGATGAAGTTTCATACCAAGTGAGACATCAGGTTCCCGCAGTGGCAAGCATTGTCTTCTGGGTTGTTGCACCATGTAGCCTGGCAAAGTTCACCAAATTTTCAGAGGTGAACTACCACATCACAAGGCACAATAACCCCGAACAGAGCTATCTTAAATTTTCATATCACTCATTTCAAACTATTAAATTAAAGATCTTGCTGAATATAGTTACATGTCACAGCTTCTGTACTGACAATGACTGAGAGACAGGACGGAGAAGACCATTTCATTTTGTTATAAAGTACATGTAAACCACTCTCATATGTTCAAAAACATCTGCATTGAAAACTCCCCTTATTTCAGACATTTCACATTGACTTCGCACAAGCAGCAAACCGAAGTCTCACTTCACCATCTTGAGGATATTCCATTTGCTTCTCTGCATTTGGAACATAATGTGTCTTGCAGAACTTATCAAAGTAACGACCCACGTCCATGTGATTCAGGTACACAGGTTCAACGGCCACTTCCAAGTTTTCTATTAAAAATAAAACATTTAAGCTGTAATGTTCACTTAATTCTTCAGACAAAAACAACTCCTCAAGCATGCCACAAAATACCTGAGCAATATCTCCTGGAAAAGTACAATTTTTGAAGTCATAATCAATTATTGGTGCAAAATAAATGTGTCCCTGACCAAGATAAGTACCTGTATTTTTTTCGA